TAACACTCATCATTAGTCTTTGTAACAGATCTGGATCATTTTCTTTTATTTCATTTAATTTGCTCTTTATTCTTCGAACTAGTTGATATATGCTACGTGCTCTCCAACCATCACTGTATACCATCTGACTTAAAATAGCCCAAAATGTTTCAATTAGTCTAGCCTGTGAAACATTTGGTGGATTAGTGCATTTTTGTACAAATTCTATGGAAATGTCAATAAACCAATTTTCTGTTTTATTAGCATAATGAGCAGTTGCAAGATCTGTCCAAAACACAAAGATATTATCTTTATGATGTTCTCTAACAAATGATATAAGTTTTTTCTTCATACATTCTTTCACATATATATTGGATGTTATTAAATTCTTTGATCTATGTATATAAGGTTCACAAAATCCATTTGAAGAAATGCAAATCCAAACCAATACCTTTTCTTCGAATTTTATTTTCAACTTGTATTTTACATTACCAGGGGCTAACAATTTATTATTTGTTTAATATATATAATTTCCAGGTATATTTGAGTTTGATAGGTTAAAATATTTTTCGTCATCTATGATTATATCTTTTTCATGGAATACTTTATTAACTAATCTTCTCGATGGTGTTGCTGCTCTCTGTTGTTGATCTTTTTCATACAAAGGTGCTTTTTGTTTTTTGTAGCATTTAATATCTGTTTTGAAATAAATAGTTCTTGAAATTGTGCTTTGGTTCACCTTAAAATATGAAGCTAAATACTTTTGACTAATACCATTTGAATTATTTAGCATTTTAGTCAATCGTTTGACTTTTTTTTATCTATTTTTGGAGGACAACCTGATCTAACCAAATCATTATACACACATTATACTTCTCATACCTTGCAAGAATACTAAATATAGTATTCCTTCATTTTTAAAATGTTTATATGTGAATTTCTTTTTATCACTTGAACGATTTTCATAGAGCATTAAAATTTTGTATAGAAGTCTAGATAAAAATTAAAAGTGATTTAAATACATTAATGTTTGATCTTCAAAATAAACAAGAAGATGAAGGTTGAAAAATTACTCTCATTTAAATCAGTTTCAAAAAAAGTTCGAAGACTTATGCATAACCCGTTAAACAATACTTTAACACATTTATATATAATAATAAATTTGAGAATATAATTACTACTAATAAAGTAATTTGATTTTATAAAAGCGCAAAAATTATATTTTACAATCTATATACTTTTTAATAAAACTATATTGATAATTTATCTATTTATTTTATTTCAAAAAATAAAACTTAACAAAAAATTTAAATTCATAAAATAAATGTCTCAAGTATAATAACCACTCTAATACTTTTCTAAAGTTTTAAAAAACATTTTTGTTATAAAGAGGTACTTTTTAAGGTGTAAGGTACTTAATATGGGTATGCTAAAAAAAGTTTAACTTGCCTCTATGGCAAGTTAAACTTTTTTACTTATGAGTAGCCCAAACACGCACCAAGTTTCGCACTTCTACTAAAAAAAGGAAATAGGTTAATAATCCGAGAACTATTAAAAACCAAAAGTTTCATTTTTTCAGTAATAAATTTTTTAAGTAATATAGTTATCCTAAATTACGAATTTCGAGTAATTAGAAAAAATAGCTAACTATTAGTAGCTTTTTTCGTAGCAACGTTTTGTTTATTCTGTTGTTAAAAAAGAATCTATATCATAAATATAGTAAAAATTTTTAATATTTATTTAATACCAGATGCGGTGATTGTAACTCTAAAACTAATTTTTGTTTATTGATTGATGCTTTTGGTCCATTTGGCTACATGGGTTTTCATATCATCATTTTCATATCCACATTTGTTCTATCACTTTGATTAAATAATATTTAAAGTAATGGGAAAAACGACAAAAGAAAAATAAATAAGGGATTGTAAAACACTAAAATTCTTCTGAGGAACCCAAAATTAATCAACAAACATGAACATGTTCTGTAAAAATTGTAAATAATTATTTTGTAAATAAAAATAACAGTTCTGCTAATTATGATTAGTTCAACGTTACAAACGGCTGCTAAATATTTATGTGTCAGTACACATGAGATGAAATTATAGCTGCCATGTAACTTTTAAATTATAAATTTTTATAAAGCTCAAGACAATGTGGTTTATAACACTGTCTCATACTTTCGTTTGCATCTTGCCACTGTTAGCAGAAGTTTTATTCTACCAAAACTATAAGCAACTTAGCAGCATTGAGCTCTTGATATTTACTTATTTTTATGATGTTTATGAGTTTATTTATAAGATTTTTAAGAAACTTTTTTGTGGTTATATGAACATGTCTGATATCATAAATAATTTCTTAAATTTGTTAAACAAAGAAATTATAACAGATGCAGTTATATAGCTAAAGCTAGTATGAATGTCGGCAGGGAAGAAGTTCTAGAAGCAGGGAAGAAGTTCTGAAAATAAGTTTATATTCTGAAAATAAAATTATAATGAGCACACAGTAATAAGGACATCTTTTAAGGTGTATAGTAATTTTAGTTTACATATACTTGATATATATTTACTAGTAACAACTATTGATGTAAAATCGATATGAGTTTTTAATTGAAACTAAATTACAAATCAAAATTTGAGACTTTTTACTTTTTAATAAAATCTTTGAAAAATATTTTACTGTCTGTTAATGTCATCTTTTTTAAAAAATTTTTTTTTTAATTTGCTTTACTTTTACTCCACAACGCTTTTATTAAAAAATTCTTACGTGATTTTTTGTTTAAATGTGTTTTTTTCATTCTCTGAAATTGATGACTTTGCGGTGAATATCTAAAGGTTTTATTAATCGATGTCGACAAAATTTTCAGGAGTTGTTCGTTTTGTTGTAATCGATGTCCCCCACATCCATTACAACAAAACGAACAATATGATAATCCGATACGAAGATTTTAAAGTTCAAATATGGTCAAAACACCTTATTCTATTTATCTTTATGTGTTTTTCTTATCAAAAAAAGTCTGTTCTATATATTTCTTTGATTTTGGTACAGGATTTTCTTTGTTATATTATAAGTAACTTTATCAAATTGGAAGTTAATAGCACAATTTTTTTTTTGAAATTTTTTTCACCGCAACAAAATGATAATATTTTGGGGTTTCTAGGACCATTTCTAAACCAAAAAAATTTTTAACTTTTTATATTTAATTTTGTCATTTAAAAGTACATTTTAATCAATTTAGATGTAAATAATATCTAAAATGTAATTTTTGAAGGATTTAATTTTATTAGTTGTTAAAAGTGTTAAAAATTAAATTAAAAAAAAGAGACGAATTAGTAAATTGAATAGGTATCTACTGACGGAACTGTCTAGTGACGGAACTGTCTAGTGACGGAACTGTCTATCTATATAGACATTTATCTATATAATAACAACAATAGATATTGTTGTTATTATTTACTTTATACTTTATTTTACACAAAAAACTATTATAACGAAAATCTGTATTACGTATATAATATATAAAAACAAATTATTGTACAACCAAAAGTTTGAACTTATCAGTAACAAACACTTCAAAAAAAATTTTAGATACTGTATTGTTGTCATGTTAAAATTATAAAAAAAAATTAACACTCAGTACTTTTCTTTAAAGGTAACATTTTATGTGACCCAGCCGGCATATCTAGTTTCACTGTGGAAATTAAAACCCATATAGAAAAGTGTTCGTCACGATGGAGTATAACGTGTTTTATGAGGTTTCAATGTCAAATTTAATATTTCTTGTGCTTTTACTACTAGTTTCACATTCATTTCATAAAACTTAGCATAATGTTATGATAAGTTTCCGTAACAGTAAAACCATGAACAAAAAACTTAACAATTCAATAGGAATACGGGTAAGATTTAATTTGAAAAAATTGGAAACATATTTTAGAATAACACATGCTATGCTATTTATTTTTAGGTGTCTTAAACATGCGACAGAAACCATGCGTAACTTTTACGGAGTTGTGCTGGTTGAGGAAGTTTAGCGAGTCAACAAAAGCTAAATTTTTGCAAAAGCTCAACCAACCCTGACTTCAAATTATTTACAAACAGTAATTAATGTGAAGTTGCTTTTAATCAATCCTGCTACAATTAAAATCATTTCATTATTTTAAATGTAGCAGGATTTAAAGTAAGAGGTTATTTCAAAGAACCTCTTACTTTGGTTACAGAAGGCTGATGTTCGAAAACTTTTAAGTTTTTAGTATTTAAAAAACTATGACGCTTTTTATTTTTGGTAATTTTGTATTATTTAATATTATAAACATCTCCCCCTCCACCCAATTGAATGAATGATTTATTGCGCTTTCACAAAGAAACAAAAACATTAATTTAACTATTGTTTTAAGCGTTAAAGAAAATATTTTACTTTGATGTTAAAAAAGGAATAATTCAGTTCAAAGTTTAAAAAGAAAATTACCTCTCATCAAAGCTTTTGTTGTTTGTTTACGAATTTTTAATGCAGAGTTCATAACTTTGACATATTTTAAATAAGGGATCGTCCGTAAATTACACAACGCTAAATTTAACCAACAGACAAAACAGAAAAGATCAAAAGTTTTCCCTCGCAGAGTCTTTAATTAAACCAAAAATCAAAATATCCGTTTAAGTCCAGTGAAAATCACCGCGCAAGAGAGTAAATGATCTCCTACTTCTATTTTTTAAATAAGTCTACCAATGCGTACTTTATAGACGATCCTTATTTAAGCTCACATGATTATATATATGCTGTCATGAGATAATACGTCATGTTTTGACTTACTATATTATGCCATTTGATCAGTTATATGTTTTTCAAGCAAAAAAGTTAAAAAGCTACTAACTTAGTTAGTTTTTAAATCACTTTTTTTTAAATATTTGTTTAAGTGGGTTTATAAAATTGATATAATTTTAAAAATTTTAATTTAATTTGAATTTAAATTAAATTAACTATTATAATAAATTTATTATGTTAAATAATTAACTTAATGTGTCGCCGATACAAAACTATGTATTAAACCTTTTAGTAAACTTAAAAAAATGATAACAAAAGTAATTTTTTTGGCGTGCTTTTCTTTAATCTCGTCAAATGAGGAAGTAAACGTTGACATTTATTTTGAAAGTAAATGTCCAGACTCAATCAAATTTATCGAAGAGCAACTATGGCCGACGTATCAAGTACTGGATAAAGATATTGTAAGCTTCAAATTTTATCCTTACGGAAACGCTCATACTATCATAAGTCAAAATGAAACAATCTCATTTGAATGCCAACATGGTCCTCAAGAATGTTTGTTGAATACTGTAGAGGCATGCGTTATCAACCAAACGCCAACTGACGTTTCCATCAAGTTTATTTATTGTCTTGAAAAAAACCCTACAGAAAAAAGGGCAAAAAGGTGCTCTGAATATTTGAAAATAGACTGGAAAAAACTAACGGCATGCTACAATGGACTTGAAGGTAAAAACTTACTGCGGAAAGCAGGCGAAGCAACACCAACACACACATTTATACCTTGGATTGTGGTTGACGGTGACTCTGATGAAAGTATACAAGAAAAAGCATTAAGTGACCTTTTAAAACTTGTGTGTGAAAAATATTATGAAAAAAGTGGAACGATACCACGTTCTTGCTATTAGAGAAACATATTTTCACAATGATGAAATACCATTAACAATAACAAAAGAGAGTTCCATATTTTTAAAATGTTTATTAACTGATAATAATTTTTTAAATTTGAAATATTACTTAACCATAATTTTTATTTAAAATTGTTATAATCGCGTTTATATTCCATGGTTTTATTCAACATACTGCTGAGCTTATTTTAAACGTTTCAAATATTTTATCTTTAAAATGGGATTATAATTTTTATTGAAATAGATATTTTGTGATGAAGTGAAATCTTAAAATGAATCTTTAATTAAATCATAAATGCTATATTTCATATATTTTGTTATTATATTTTGTATTATATATTGTTATATTATATTTTGTCTGGAAAATATGTAAAAGAGAATCATTATTTGTTTAGATTTGTTAGTTTTTTGAATTTTGTTATACTTAAAACGTTTACTGATTTATTTTTTTTTCTCCTTTTTTTTTTTTTTTATATATATCATGTTAAATTTGTGTTAAATTTAAATTAAAAAAAAAATAAAAATGAACAAAAATTTCTGAACAAACAGCTATTCTCTTTTATATACTTTCCAGAGAAAATATTGTTATGGATTGCATGTCAAGTATATTTTAATCAAAGATTTTTTTCGATCCTTATTTAAGCTCACATGATTATATATATGCTGTCATGAGATAATACGTCATGTTTTGACTTACTATATTATGCCATTTGATCAGTTATATGTTTTTAAAGCAAAAAAGTTAAAAAGCTACTAACTTAGTAGTTTTTAAATCACTTTTTTTTCAATTATTAAGTGGGTTTATAAAATTGATTTAATTTTAAAAATTTTATTTTAATTTAAATTTAAATTAAATTAACTATTATAATAAATTTATTATGTTAAATAATTAAATTAATGTGTCGCCGATACAAAACTCTGTATTAAACCTTTTAGTAAACTTAACAAAAAAATGATAACAAAAGTAATTTTTTTGGCGTGCTTTTCTTTAATCTCGTCAAATGGGGAAGTAAACGTTGATATTTTTTTTGAAAGTAAATTATTATTTCATTTATTTAACACCCAATGTAAGTTACAAGGTAAAAAAGAAAAATAAGAAAGTTATTTCTTGTGATTTTCACTTGAGAATTTTTTCTTCCAGAATTTGTTTAAAAATTCCTCTTTGTTCTTTCACATTCCAGCGCTCTATTGCATATTTCAAACTTTGTTCAATTTCGGAGTAAATTTCACTTTTAGAAAGTGCTATTTTTATCTTCTTTTTATTTTGAATTAAGTTTTGAAAATTTAGCATCCGAAAACGGCATAGGTCCTGGATATCGCCAACAAACGAATGTTTAAATAAGGGGTGTTTCAGTTGTGAAAAGATAATGTCTGAGTTGTTTTATTATTAAGCAGACGAAGAAACAAGTTTAATTTATTTCGGTGAATACTTTCTGAAATCTCCTGGATTTTAAATAGCGAATTTATATAGTTCTTACTGTGTTTGGAAACATTTAAAAGCGATTTTAGTGCACTCCTTCCAATTACATCTAGCTTTTCATCAAAACAGAATTATTTTCACATATCTCCATACCATAAGTTAAGGTAGGGAAGGCCAATAATTTATATATATAGGAAATAGAACTTTGGTGGGCAAACCGGATTCCAGATTGAATAAGAGTTTGAACTATAGCCCTAAAGTTTGAAATTTTTTCATCAACATTTGCATTATTGAGTGAAGCAAAAGTTGAATGTTTATTATCCCATGCGAATCCCAGGTGTCTAAGTTTAATCTGAAGATTTATTTTATTACTAGAAATCGTTATCGTATTGGTTTGTATTTGTGCTTTACCTGAAATCAAGAATTCAGTTTTTTCGGCATTTATTTTAATACAATTTAAATTACTATAAATATTGCATGTTTTTATAAGCTTTTTAAGACCAGAGAGAGTAGAGCTTAAAAGTATGATATCATCCGCATATGCCACCACACCAGTGAAGTTACCATATATAGATGTGCCAACAATATCTTGATTTGTAATAGTTTCAAGAAGACTTTCAGTGTAAATATTATATAGGTGAGGTGAAAGAATCAATCCTTGTCTTACTCCTTGCTTTATAAGAAAGGAGTTTGATTTACAACCTTGATATGAGACTGTTGCACTACTATTGTTATATAACGAAGAGATAGTGTTAACTATACAGAGTGGTAATTTTTTATCAAAATATAATTTATTAAATAGGATATCCCAGTTGCAGCTATCAAAAGCTTTCTCTACATTTAAATAGCATAGGTATACAGGTGAGTTGTTGCTATTGTAATGTTTAATTGTTTCGCTAATTAGAAATTCAGCATGTAGCGTTGAACAGTTAGCATTGAATCCAAATTGTAGAGGGTGAGTATCTTTAATATCCGGACATAGAATAAGAATTAGGTATTCTAGAATCTTTTTAAAAATTGGTATAATGCTAATACCGCGATAATTGCTCGGGCTATCTAAAGATTTTTTATACGATTTAACAAGGGGTATAATAATAGACCTTGACATTGATAATGGTGTCCACCCATAATTAATGGAATAATTAAAAAATTTGATGAGCCATTTTGTTAAAGTATCACAATTTGCGTATTTCAAATGTTCTGCTGAGATACCGAAAGAGTCAGGAGATTTTTTAGATTTTAGGTTTGAAATAGCCCTAATTATATTTTCTTCAGTTATTGTAACATCATCGTGTTTTGTACACAGGGGAAATCTACGATGATTTTCATTGCGATGTATTATTTTTGAAGTATTTAGTACTTTTTCGAAGTGGTTTGCAAATTCTGAAGTAATGGATTCTTTGTCTTTTTTATTATTTGTGGTAAATAATCTAGAATTTATTTCTTTGTTTAAACTTCTAAAAGCATTCCAAAAGTTTTTTGGTCTAATATTTTTTAACTTCTCAATTTTAGTATACTGTGCGCAAATTTTATTATTTTGAGCCAACTTGAAGGCTTTGCGAAAGCTTTTACGAGCCATTAGGTAACGATTGAAGGTTACGGAGTTTAAATCTTTTAAAAAACCAGAATCTCTCCATTTGTTAAAATGAATTGAAAGAATAGTTTTAGAACGACTTAATTCAGGTGTCCACCAAGATTTTGAATACAAACATTGCTTTTTATTTTTTAAAGTTTCCTTGAAAGCTAATTGAGCGCTGCCAGCAATTATTTTATAGATTTGAACAAGGTCGTATTCATAGTTATCAGTAAAATTAAGATATTTAAGGCAATTGGTTAAATGATCATTATATGAATTTATAAAGTTGGAATCGTTACAAGCGTAGCTAGGAATATTAGTATCTTATGCTATTGTGGTATTGTATTTAGTATGCGTACCTTCAACTTCAACTGATATTGATAGTGGTAAATGATCGTTTAAGTTATTTGAACCCTCAGGATGAACAATGCATTTTAGACTTTGGAAATTTGTATATTTCGGTATGGCGACGTGATCAATATATGACGAATTCGGTAGCGTCTGGTGCCGATATGTATAATTAGGGCCAGAACCGTTAGTTACATCTACTAGTTCTAATTGATCAGAAATGTCCAGACTCAATCAAATTTATCGAAGAGCAACTATGGCCGACGTATCAAGTACTGGATAAAGATATTGTAAGCTTCAAATTTTATCCTTACGGAAACGCTCATACTATCATAAGTCAAAATGAAACAATCTCATTTGAATGCCAACATGGTCCTCAAGAATGTTTGTTGAATACTGTAGAGGCATGCGTTATCAACCAAACGCCAACTGACGTTTCCATCAAGTTTATTTATTGTCTTGAAAAAAACCCTACAGAAAAAAGGGCAAAAAGGTGCTCTGAATATTTGAAAATAGACTGGAAAAAACTAACGGCATGCTACAATGGACTTGAAGGTAAAAACTTACTGCGGAAAGCAGGCGAAGCAACACCAACACACACATTTATACCTTGGATTGTGGTTGACGGTGACTCTGATGAAAGTATACAAGAAAAAGCATTAAGTGACCTTTTAAAACTTGTGTGTGAAAAATATTATGAAAAAAGTGGAACGATACCACGTTCTTGCTATTAGAGAAACATATTTTCACAATGATGAAATACCATTAACAATAACAAAAGAGAGTTCCATATTTTTAAAATGTTTATTAACTGATAATAATTTTTTAAATTTGAAATATTACTTAACCATAATTTTTATTTAAAATTGTTATAATCGCGTTTATATTCCATGGTTTTATTCAACATACTGCTGAGCTTATTTTAAACGTTTCAAATATTTTATCTTTAAAATGGGATTATAATTTTTATTGAAATAGATATTTTGTGATTAAGTGAAATCTTAAAATAAATCTTTAATTAAATCATAAATGCTATATTTCATATATTTTGTTATTATATTTTGTATTATATATTGTTATATTATATTTTGTCTGGAAAATATGTAAAAGAGAATCATTATTTGTTTAGATTTGTTAGTTTTTTGAATTTTGTTATACTTAAAACGTTTACTGATTTATTTTTTTTCTTCTTATTTTTTTTATATATATTATGTTAAATTTGTGTTAAATTTAAATTAAAAAAAAAATAAAAATGAACAAAAATTTCTGAACAAATAGCTATTCTCTTTTATATACTTTCCAGAGAAAATATTGTTATGGAATGCATGTCAAGTATATTTTAATCAAAGATTTTTTTGAGATTCCACTTTTTAACGAAAAATCTGTTTTAAGAAAAATTATCCCGTTTTGAAGATAAAATATTTCAAGCGTTTTAAAATTAAGATGTATTTAAAACGATGTATAAGTCCAATTATAAAATAGTTTTCTGTTAATGCGCGACTATGTTCACTTTTTTCAATGTTTTCTCAAAATCAATTCATTCTTTTTATATATTTTTTTCATTTCTTTTATTTTGCTGTTTAACAACAAGTAATCTGTTTAACAATAAGTAAATATAAAATATAAGCAAATATAAATATAAAAATACTGTTTAACAATAAGTAAATATAAAAATATGTCCGTAGAACAAAGAAGACAGTAAAATCTTGGCAACAAGCACCGTTTTTGTATATATAATGTAAAATATAAGCTTTTCTTTTTTACAATGATCTTTATAAAGTAAAGAATTAAATATACAGGGGCTCAAAGAAGATGACAATACGTCATCGCAATCTGTTCATAGAGCCTCTCTGTATATTTTTAATTAAGTATAGATAATAATTTAAATACCCTAATGGGCATAAAACTGCAGCGCTGAGCAGTAAAGCAAATAAAGATAAAAAAATACTGAAAAACTAAAATCAAACAACTTCAGAGTTACTCAAGCACATATGAATTAGGGTGTATCGAAAAAAAACTTTTTATGAATTTGAAGTTGTAATAAAGCGGAAAAGTTGCATAATGCTATAAAAGGTAATTGTGCAAAATTTTTTTATATATTTTTTATGTCTTCAGTTCGCGCTAGGGTTTAATTTTCTTAAAAAAAAAAACGTTTTCTGACCTTTTTTACAAAAAAACAACAACAAATTCTATGCATTATCTAGAATTGTAGTAGAGTTTAAACAATACACAATGACTAAGTTAGAAATGGTTATAATTTTTTAGAAAATATTTTAATGTCTTCAGTTGCCGCTAGAGGGCTGAGGTTTTACATAAAAACACTCATGAGTTTCTGGTAAACAAGCTTTGCTGTCCATAACGCACAATTAAAGTTTTAATAAAGTGAAAAATGTTTAAAGTTTAGCGAAAAAAAAAAGTTCAACTATCTGATTCATTTGGATCTGTCTCAAACTGTCTTTTTGTGTTGAGCGAATCTTGAATCTTGAAGGAATGAAGCCGTCTCTATTAGCCAAAACGCAAACTTGATCTGAAGCTTTGGTTATAATTTGGATGCATCTCTCTACTCCTTGAGTATGGCATGGAAAATGCCATGATGTTTCAATTATCTATTTTAAGGACTAAGACTTCTTTTATAAAAATAATGTTTAAAAGAGTGATTAATTTCAATAAATATAGTGTGAAAATGGAATTAATTCCAAATAGACAAATACCTAGTAGATTTTTGCCGCAAGTATTTGCAGGTAATCTGCAATGAGTGTCTGAAGATAATCCAACGGCACCAAAAAGCTGAAAAATGCGTATGGCATAAATAAATGGCTAATTGATATAATGATTTTATTAATAAAATCTGCATTTTTTTTTTTTACTTCATACAAGAGGGACTCTATGAAAAGGTTGCGGTGGTAGTTTTATCATCAATAATTCTTTTAGCCGCTTTTTGTCTATTTTACAATTTGAAGTGTGAAGCTTGAGTTTGAGAAAAAAAATTAAAGGTCATAGTTAACGGAAGTTTTTATTAAAAAAAAAAAATTTTCTTCATTATATTCATTGCCTTGTCTTCTTGTACCTTTATCTTGCTTGATATTAGTTAAAGAGTATGATTAAAGATTTAAATATAATTCACATAATATATATGTAATTCAAAAAATATATTTAATAAAATAAACTTTGTTATTCTAATTACAAAATACACATTAACATAGTTGTCGATGATGTCGATGGATTAAGTAAAATGCAAACTTTTTAGGAAGCCACGATCTTATTAGCAGTCGATGATGTCGATGGATTAAGTAAAATGCAAACTTTTTAGGAAGCCACGATCAACAGTTGGTGATGTAACAGTTTACTAGTCATTTTTTAAAACTTTTAATAATAAAATCCTGACCTAACCAAAACAAATTTATTAAGACATTGTGGACCATAAAATGCTTTGGTTCGCAAAATAGTTCGCATTTAACCGGTTTGCAGTTTGCATTTTACCAATTAAAGTTAGTTATAGGAGTTATAAAAAAGTGCAAATTATCAAACGACATACACAATCTAATTTTTTAATACGCTAAACTTAATAAGTTTTTCAAACCAGTTGACGAAATTAAAAACTTTAGATGACATTTTGCATGACTTTTTTTTAGAGGTTTGGTAATGTTTCCGGAGTTTTCAGATACGAAAAACAAAAATTTTAAACTTTTTACAATTCAATTTATAAATTTTTGGTTTTGTGAGAAAAACACTTTCATACCTTACATTATAGAAATCGTTTGATACACATACCTTTTGACATAACTGTTTGGCACTAATTCTTTTCGACATAATCATTTGACGGAAATATTTTTGACATAATTATTTGACGGAAATATTTTTCGAAATAATTATTTAACGCTGATATTTACCGAGATAATCAAAAAATTGACAAAATATCACCCATCGTGCGAAAAACATCTGAGAACGAATTGGCGTATTGTTGAATTTTAAGTAGTAGTAGGTGCAATTTAAGTAAGCACAACTAAGCTGAATAACTTAGGACAATTAGAACTTCAGAGTCGTGTTAGTTGTCTTTTTATTTCAATTTTGGCGATAGCTTGCTTATGTACTTCATCGGGACCATCAGCCAAACGCAAAACGCGCGAAAAAGCAAACATGTGTGCAAGAGGAGTATCTGCAGATAATCCAGCAGCACCAAAAATCTGAAAAATCCATGTCAGCATTTATTTTAAATTAAACACACACACACAAAACACACACAAAAAAACAAACAAACGACATCGTACAACAATTATATATTTGTTACCTGTATTGCTCTATCGATAATCGTCTGCGCTGTACGAGGAGCAATCACTTTTATCATTGCTATCTCAGAAGCTGCAACCTTGAATAAACATTATTTTAGATGATTTATTTAGTCTATTATAAAAACATCATAAAAAAAAGTAAAGTTTAAAACGTATCTATAAGATAACAGTAAGAAGTTAAGACGTTTTGTTTTGCATTTCATACTTTGTTACCGACTGTGTCCATCATATGTGCTGCTTTTAAAGTCAATAATCTAAAAATGAGTATTATTTTAGAAAATCATTTTAAAAATAGTTTCGCACTGACTTCAAAACTTTCAGATATACTCATTAGTTTTAACTATTTGTATATAAGGTGTCCTTAAGGATAAACCCTGTTTAAACGTTCTTTTTTTTTATTCTTTTTTAATCTTAATTCACCTCTTTAAAGTCGAGAAGGCCAATGCAGTCGAGGAGGCTACTGCGTGTTAATTGAGGTTACAACCCTCTCTTAACACTAACTACCAAACAGGAACCTTGACTAACACTTTTAGGCCTTTAAAAACCTTCAAACTTAAATATGCTTGTGTGCTTGTGTCAAATGAGAATATGTTACAAAAAAACTGCAGTGAAAAATATATCCCTCTAAAAAAACAATTACTTTGCTTCTCCACCTTAAATGCAAGAAAATACTAATTTACAGACTCCAATCACCACAACTTTTTTTAACAACCAATCAACACAATTTTTGTAAAAGATTCTCATTAAAAACTCGAAAAACGCAGTTAAGTTTGGAGTTATGCCTAAAAATGTCATAAGTTAAACATAAAAAAACCTTTACCCATAAATTTACAAAAATTCATTTGGATCTATCAACAGATTTAAAAAAAAAATTGTTTAAAAAAAAACATTTTTGTTTTCAATATTATTTAACATCATAACAAATAATTAATTACACTATTAATGCACAAAATATAATTTTTTAATTTCAAAAAACAAATACAGTAGACTGCCAGTTATAAAAATAGAGTGTTTTGTTAATAATATGGGATTTCTAATGTGGCTCCTTTGGTTTATCTTTTGGGGCTTCTTAGAGAGTATTAAGACCAACTAGACAACCAATATTTTTGTTAAAATCTATAAATAATTTTAATTTTAAAGTAACATAAGAAAAAAAAATTACCGTGCTTGTTCAATTTCAATTCTGGATTCGGCAATATGTGATTGAACTGTACCTTGTGCAATAAGTGGCTTACCAAATGCTGTTCTTGAGTTTGCTCGATTAACCATGAGCTCCAAAGCACGTTCTGACCATCCTATTAATCTCATACAATGATGAATGCGACCAGGACCAAGACGGCCCTAAAAAAATACATTAAACTTATAAGTAATTCAAAAATTTTAAAAATAAATTCGACACAGAATTAAATTTAAATTATTGTCTAACAGCGTAACACAATGGTTGTTATGAATAGCATGAGAGAAAATAGTTTATCAAGAAAATTTTTGTAATGATATAAAGCTAAAAAATGTAAAAAACTATGCAGCAATCTTATGTGCTTTTTAACTATTTTTTTCCCCTTAAATCTTCAAAAACCTATTTTTTAATCCAAATTTTAATGAATCTTGATTAATATTCATTTTAGTAAACCATGTGTCTGAAATCATTCTCAGGTATATTTGATTTCTCTATTTAAATGAGTGAGAACTTTGTTTATCAAAACATGACATCTACACAAAGTAAATTTTTTAAAAAAATTAAAAATTATAATTTTTACTTTTTTCATCACTCAAAAATAAAATTATAATAGTTACAGTTTTTTTTTCCATTTTTACTTTGCATGTATTATACTATAACCATTAAATTTTTTTTTACTATGCCTTTATCAAACTGAAATTCTTCAACTTTTTCATACTTACATAACACCCTTATAAAACATCATCTAAAGTAGTATTAATTAAATTTTATCAGTTGAATTAAAAACTTATTTAGTTAAAAAAATTTAATATCGTAAATTAATTAAAAATTAGAATTGGCAAATTATCATTTATTATAAATATATATCTATTATATATATAATAAATAATAATATTTCATACAACTAAAATGTTAAATTTAAGAATTTTCTGTCATAATGGTGATAATTTCTTTGACTTGACAGTTAAATAATTGATAAAACAAAGCTTTACTAATAATCAACCTTTTTGTATAAATCAAATGTTAAAATTATATTCAGGGCAAAAAACACGGGTTTTGAAGTAGAAAAAATGGCGTTGGCCCTGATATACATTTTCTATTACCTGGGCAATTTCAAAACCACGACCTTCACCAACCAGAATATTAGAAACAGGTACACGAACATTTGTAAATTCTATTTCTGCATGACCACCTGTAAACAATAGATCAAATCATACACACAAGTTTTCAAAAATTGCATTTCATTACCTCTAAATGTATTCTGAATAATAAAATAACACTGGAAATATAAAAAGTTTGAATATTTTTAGAGTTAAATATTTACAGAGTATCTTAAACATTTACCTAATAAATATTTAGTTATATTAATGATATAAAATATTTATTTAACTCAATATTTAGGAAAAAAACCCTTCAAAAGTAGGTCAACCTTGTGCTCAAAAGAAGCAAAATTATATAAAAATCTCAAATAATATTTGTTTTACAAAAGAAATATAGAAAGAAAAACACATATATTATCAAAAACTTGATAAAGTGCACCTTTTTTAACTTTTAAAGTGCTTAATATATTTTTTATCTTGTTATTTAGGTGCCCCAAAAAGACCTAATGTTCCTGTCACAGAGCACCGCGGAAGTGCATTTAACTAGGAAGTTCACACCTACTTCCTTACAGTGACGCAATATCATGAGTGTCACGGTAAGGAAGGAGATGTCCAGAGTTCATTTTGAACCTGGATCTCCTGCTTCTAAAGCAAGCGCTCTAACCACTGCGCCACGGCTGCTACAATACAAAAGTTTAGGTAATTTTTTCAATGAATTCTAAATCATTTTAATTTATAAACTTTTATACAATTAAATAATATTTTTACAGGATAAAATGAGAAACTGTTAAAGGAGTGGACAAAATTAAAACATGAAAGATACAGAACAAATTTTGCTGAAGTAAATAAAATACATTTATTTTAAGAACAGATTAATAAAGTATTTTGGGTAGGAGAACATCTTCATTTTATTTTTGAGGAAATATTAAAAGATAAAATTAGAAAAATGAAAGAAACGAAGAAGGTATTGCTTTCTTAAAAGACCAGAATGGTGAAAGAAAAAGAAGACTTGGAGGTAGAGATAGAAGATATGAGTTTTCTGAAGAAGTAAAAGAAGAATATCTAAGTTAAATAAAAATTAGCAGAGTTGTATAAATATTAGTTTAGATTACCTAAGTTTTGCTAGTTACACCAGAGACGAGTTAGGTTAAGAAAAAAATATTTTGTTATTGATCAATTTTGAAGTATAGATTAAAATTTCACTTACCATCTAACCAAGGAAGCAGTTTGCCGTTTAAGATTTATTGGAAAATGTTTATACTATTTGAAGTTTATACTATTTAAAATTGTATCTTTTAATGAATGAATTTCAATACCTGACTGACAAGCACCAAGAAGAAATAACTGTTATAACGTTATTAATTTTTAATTTTTATACAGTGGTTTGGAAAAACAGAGCTAGAATCCTTGGCACAAACACAGGTATAAAATATTTTATTATTTTAATGATAATTTAGAAAATGATAATTTAGAAATTTAATGAAAATTTAGAAATTTAAAAAGAAATTGATTAAAGTGATTCAAAATGTTAACTTATTTATTAGAATATGAAAGCTCAAAGACAAATGAAAAGATTTGAAGAATGGATTGTACTTGGTACTCCAGCTGCTTCAAGCTCTATTCTCAGACATAATTTTTTTTGCTCTAGCAGATAAATGATGATAATATGAATGGAAAACTGTACAGTTTACAAAAATGTCCAAGTGACAGTTTTCCTTTGGAGCACCAGAAATGAACCAAGTTATATTTAAGTTATATTGAATAGTCTCAACTTTAGTGAAGACGTGTCTCCTAGTTTGACGTCATTAACAACAGACAAGTCGTGGCTAGTTTTTGACATAGTTTGACATGGAAAGGTAGAAACTCAATGGATGAAAACTTCACCATAGTTTTGAAAATTCATTTTTATCTAGAATTTAGAGCAACATTCAAAAGACTTGATGTTGTGAGGGTACTTAACTACCCTCTGAGAGGGTAGTTTAGTTACTTTAAGACCAAATAAACAGAGCAGAAAAAAGTATTTCTGATAAGAAAAGGCAGGGAACCTTTCTTTTTACAAATAATAAAAAAAAAAACTGAAAAGGGAGGGAAAAAATAGAAAACAAAAAAATCGCTATAACCAATAGTCTTGTTTTTTATGCTTTTTGTTAACAACATTTTTTAAAGAGGGATTACTGGGATTGCTGTATTTTAATTTAAAACAAGATTGTCTTAATAATTTTTCTAGTTTTCAAATTTTAATTTTTTTAAATTTGAGTAAAAACCATATTGTTTTGACTATTGATAACAAAAACATATCTTTGTTCCCTGTCTAGGCCCTCTATTATACATATTTTCCATGATAAACCCTAAAGTTGAAATTAAGAAATTAATATAGCACTCTATTAAAAGTATCGAAAATATACTTTTATGAGTTTTTAAAATTTTTTAAAAATATTTTGCACTTACATTGCAAAATATTTATGGAATTTAGTGATTTTTGAAACAATTTTTAAGTTTAAAACTTTTTTTTGAGATTAGAGCCCATTTTATTTTGATTAAATATATCTTTGCAAACAAATATATTTAAAAAAAATCAAAAATACCTATTTTAATACTTCCTACAAACCTTTTTAAAAATAGTACAAAACGCCCCTTTTTCACCCTCAAGGTACCCTTAAAATTTAAGAAAATAAAATCAAAAAATATTAGGTACTAAATCGTGGTCTGGGCAGATTATAAGCTAGGGCTCTTTTTTTTCAGACATGACCTTTTTTTGAAATACCCTAATATATAAACATATAGGGCAGATAATAACCATACTTCTTTTAAAATTTTGATAAGCAGCTATATGTGGTGGTTATGAATTGGGATAATGAATTATATAATAAAAAATTTGCACAAATTTTTTTTATTAAAATCTCTTAACGATTTTATTTAATTCATGTAATACTAATTTCAAAGTTTCTTAATTATATAAATTTTACTTTTATAATTTTAATATAAGATTTTATGTTATATATTAATCTAAATAATATTATATTGCTATAACAAAATTTATTTGGAACAATTTGTACAAGTTGCATTATATTTTAGTATTGTATTATTTTATGTACTTTAACGTCTATACTTGTTATATATTTTGTAATATAAATGTACATATTTTATTTTTTAGTAATTTAAAATTGTATATAATTAATAAAAAGCAACTCATTATTTTTTTTTTTAAACATCTCTGCTTCCAACAAGGCTGTAAGAGAGTGAATTCCAAAAAACTGATGTTGAAGAAAAAAAACTATAGAAATAAGAGTTTTTGGAGCACTTAGGAACATTCGCAGAAAAAGGATGAGACTTAATTGAATGACGAGTAACACAAGAATGATTTTTAGATGGCACAAGAGACGCTAGCTTTTTAGAACAGTGCCCATTATAGTATTTGTAGAAAAGAGAAAGAGAAGCAACATTACGACGATGTGATAATGGTTGAAGGTTGGCTGCGAGAGCAGGTCCAACTATGTTTACAATGCATTTTTGCACCTGATTTGAGATTTATAGAGATAGAGAATAGAATCTAGAGTAAAAAAGTGTTGAGCTCGATAAAAAGATGCCACTTTAGCAGATGCTAATTTTGCAATGGGTTTGACATATGGTTTCCAAGAAAGATCAGAAGTAAGAGTCAATCCTAGAAGATGAAGGGTAGATGACTCATCGAGTACATTACCGTTTATAAATATAGGAAGGTCTAAATTATTGCGATAACAATTGGCTGAAAAAAATTGAGTTTTATCTGATTCAATAACCTTAAATATGCTTCCAGATAAACTGTAGGAAGAAAGCTTATGGAGAAGACCAGCATGCCAAACTTTATCAAAGGCTCTAGAAATGTCAAGAGCCATGGCTTTAACCTCTCCATCTAATCTAATGGGCAATAAAACCTATTAGTTATTACTGTTAGCAAATCAGCCATAGAACGAGAAGGTTGAAATTCATATTGATAATTAGAAAGTAAGTTATTAGATTCAAGATGAGAGATTAAGTGTTTGTTAATTAAAGATTCAAAAACCTTGCTTATGATAGGAAGAAGACTAATGGGACGTTAGTTAGACGAATCAGATCGCTCTCCAGATTTTTTAAAAATAGAGGCAACAGATGCTGCTTTCCAGCAGGCTGGAAAACAAGACTCTGATAAGCACTTGTTGAATAGTTTTGAAAGGATAGACGACAGCTCCGGGGAACACTACTGCAAGACTATAACAGGTATGTTGTATGGGCCACAAGCTGTAGAAGAGTCTAAGCAGAAAATCACTTTAGATACAGAAGATGGAGTGATACAAATGTTAAGCAATGGATCAACCTGTTTGACGGCTATATCAGGTAGAATGCAACTAGTGGAATCAAGAGATGATATTGATGAAAGTTCTTAACAAGCAATTCAGCTTTGTCTTTAGGTGAGGTGACAAAGTCTGAACCATACAAAAGAGGAGGAATTACAGACTTGCCCTTATTATTGATACTATTAAAGATTCTCCAGAATTCAAGAGAGCCAAATTTTTGTGATGAAATATGTTGACCAAGAGACAGAGATTCACAAATTTCTTTCAAACTCAACATAATAATATGTTTATTAACATACTTATAAATCTATTTAACAATTAAGCTCAACTAAAAATAGTTACTTGGTGCATCTTCATAACCAAAAACAGAGAGTGGCCTTATTACCCTCACACCTTCAGCATTCATTGGAATAAGAATCATTGACTAAAAAAAGTTTGAAAATTAAAAAGAATCAGTTATTTAACTTTATAAATATTTTGTATACCTACACACCAAAATAATACCTGCTGCAAATGCTTAGGGGCAGAAGGATTAGTTTTACCCATGAAAATACAAAGAGCACATCGTGGATCCATTGCACCTAAAAAATAGCACTTTTTTCTCATAGTTACACACACACACAAATTTAAAAAAGAAAGAACAAATTTAAACTAAACAAAAGTATTTAAAATTAAAATTTTATGGTTCTCAAAAGATTTCAATCTATAATAATATTTGTGAATAAAACAAAATTTTTTATACAAAATGTACTCAAAAAAATTTGAAATAAGATTCGCAATCTATTAATTGACCATGCTTATTAATTTTATCTAAAAAAAAAAAAAAACACTTTTATAATAAAAAGTTTCTTTTTAGATAAATCCAAAATGGTTAACATCTTTTTTCTTTATTATTTCCATAAATTTATTTGACATTTTTCAAAATATACTACGGTATATGTTTTTTAATACCACACATTTCAATTATATACCGTATATCAATTTTATATGGTTGTATATGGTGGTATATATAAAAAATTTTCAAATTTCAAATTTTAACAGAACGGAAAAGTTGAATATTGATATAAGTAGTAACTGTGCCAAATAAAATAAAAAATTGAGGCCTTCAGTTGGCACCATAATTTTTTTTTTTTTTTTACAAAAACGATTTCTGCCATTTTTTACAAAATAAAAACTACAAATTCTATGCATATACTACATATAGTATATACTACATATAGTATATAGTATATATAGTATATACTACATATAGTATATGTAGTATATTGGGAGTTACTAGGAAAAAGAACAGATTTATAGAACAAGGAAACGGTTGACAGAAGATTTGAAAAGTTGAAGGTTGTATAAGTCAGGAAAACATGAAGATGGGAGAGAGTTCCAAAGGATTGAAGTGCGGGGAAAAAAACTAGATGTATAAAAGTTTTTAGAGCATGCAGGGACAGATACAGTAAACGAATGAGACTTAGCTGAATGAGGAGTAAAACAAGAATGAATTTTAGTTGATGGAACTAGAGATGGTAACTCCTTTGGGCAGTGACCATGATAGTATTTGTAGAAAAGAGAAAGAGATTCAAATTTACGACGATGGGAAAGAGGCTCAAGCCTTGCAGATAGTGCAGATCCAACAACATTTACAATGCGTTTTTGGACCTTGTCAAGAAGAGAAAGTGAATTGTTAGAAGAACCAGCCCAAATATGACAACAGTATTCCATACAGGGACGAATAAGAGATTTGTAGAGGTAGAGAATGGAATCAGAAGTAAGGAAATGGCAAGATCAATAAAGAGACGCAACCTTAGCAGAAGCTAATTTAGCAATCGATTGTATATATGGTTTCCATGAAAGGTCAGTAGTAAGCGATAATTCAAGAAGACGTAAAGAGGAGGACTCAGTAAGAGGATTGCCATTCATTAATATAGAAATGTTGACCATATTACGGTAGTTGTTTGCAGTAAACAACTGGGTTTTGTTAGAGTTGAAATTCACAAGCCACTGTGAACCCCAATCTATTACTGAAGTGAGATCGGATTCAAGATCAGCTGCTTGTTCTAGGCGATCGAAAAGAGAAGACTCTTTGTCAAGACAGGAGTATAAAGTTGAGTCATCAGCAAAAAGAGCTACTTTAGATGAAAGGTTGTCAGGAAGATCGTTTATGTAGATAAGAAACAAAACAGGGCCCAGGATGGAACCTTGGGGAACCCTAGAAGTTACCGGAAATAAAGAAGAGTGTTGGCCTTCAAGGATGACTTTAATAAACCGATTAGAAAGAAATGATTTGATAATCTCAAAAACTTTCCCAGAAACACCATATGAAGCAAGCTTATGGAGAAGACCAGCATGCCAAACTTTGTCGAAAGCTTTAGATATGTCGAGAGCAATAGCCCTAGCCTCACCGCCGCCATCTAATGCAAGATAAAATCTTTCAGTTACAGCAGTTAGCAAGTCGGCCGTAGAGCGAGAGGATCGAAAACCGTATTGATTGTCTGACAGTAGTTTATTTGACTCAAGATGAGATGTGAGGAGTTTGTTGATCAAAGACTCAAAGACTTTGCTAATAACAGAAAGAAGACTGATCGTACGATAATTGAAGAGGTCAGAATTTTCTCCAGAGTTTTTGAATATTGGAACCACAGATGCCATTTTCCAACAAGCAGGAAAACAAGACTCAGTCAAACACTTGTTAAATAGTTTAGAGAGAATTAAAGAAAGTTCTGGAGAACAATTCTGCAAGACTGTGACAGGAATGTTGTCTGGACCACAAGCTGAAGAAAAGTTCTTTGCAAATAGTTCTGCCTTATCCTTGGGAGAGGTAATAAGATCAGTCCCATGAATGAGAGGTGGAATGTTAGATCTACCCTTGTTAATAATGTTGTTGAAGATTTTCCAAAAGTCTTTAGAGCCTAACTTCTGTGATAAGATGCGAGATTTAGTGAACTGAGAATAATGGAGTTTAGCATCAGAAAGCACCTTTTTACATCGATTTCTTGCAATAATAAATAGCCGTTTGTTGTTCTCAAGAGAGTTGGCCCTATACTCTTTTTAATTTACATTAACAATTTTCCAGATATTCTCACATCTAAGGTGGCATTGTTCGCTGATGATACTACCAATTATTCTTGTCACGATAAGAAGCCAACTCCTTCTGATTGCTTGCAGGGGGCATCTAAGCTTGAAAAGGATCTAACTTCTGCTACAGCATGGGGCTCACAGTGGCTGGTGAACTTTAATTCAGATAAAACTCTATTTCAGCCAATCGTTATTGCAATAATTTAGACCTTCCTATTTTCATGAACGGTAATGTACTCGATGAGTCTCCTACCCTTCATCTTCTAGGATTAACTCTTACTTCTGATCTTTCTTTGAAACCTTATATCAAATCTGTTGCAAAATTAGCATCTGCTAAAGTTGCTTCTCTTTATCGAGCTCGACACTTTCTTACTCTGGATACTATTCTCTATCTCAAATACTAATCTCAAATTCGGCCTTATATGGAATACTGTTGCCACATCTGGGGCGGATCTTCTAATGATGCCCTTTCTCTTTTAGACAAGGTGCAAAAACGCATTGTAAACATAGTTGGACCTGCACTTGCAGCCAACCTTCAACCTCTGTCACATCGTTGTAATGTTGCTTCTCTTTCTCTTTTCTACAAGTACTATAATGGGCACTGCTCTAAAGAGCTAGCGTCTCTTGTGCCATCTACTAAAATTCATTCTCGTGTTACTCGTCATTTAATTAAGTCTCATCCTTTTTCTGTTACTGTTCATAAGTGCTCCAAAAACTCTTATTTGTCTAGTTTTTTTCCTCGAACATCAGTTCTTTGGAATTTGCTTCCTTCATTTTGCTTTCCTGATTCATATAATTTGCATTTTTTTAAGTCGTCTGCCAATCGTTATCTTGCTCTACAATCTTCATCTTTTCTCTTCCAGTAACTTTCAACACTAATTAGTGATTGCTTGCAGCCTTGTTGAAAGCGAAAATGTTTAGAAAAAAAAAAAAGATCATGTGTTGTTCTAGATAACTGTTCAAAAAATAACGCAATGGTTAGAATTCTCAAAGAGAAGTTGAATACTAAACACATAAGTAATGGTATTTTTTTCATGTTTAATATTCTGTACATTTTGTAAATTTGGTTGTTCAAAAGGCAATTGAAAGCATTAAAAATATATTAGTAAAAGTTAGTCCCAAGTACAAGCTCCTAGTAATAATGTTGTTTTAGATGTAAAAAAAAAAAGATGGAACTCTACTTATATAAGAGTATGGATACTGCATATAGAAGTTAGAAAATATTAATGGACTATTAAAAATGTTGTATAATGAGCACGCTGCTAAATATTTCAACACAGTAAAAACTCCAGTGCTAAAGGAAAGCATTTCAAATCAGTCTTCTGCTTCTTTTTTATATTCAAAAAAGATTGAGAAATTCAAAAATCATGTAGTTTTAAAATCTTCTTCTTTGGAACTAAAAAATGAATTACAGTTGTACTTAGATGAGCTATTGATTGTTGATCAAGAAGGATTCAACATACTGGAATGGTGGAGACATGTTGGAGTCAGATTTCCAGTTATACAATGTTTAGCAAGAGTTATTTTGTCGAAACTGTTGTCTACTGTTACTTCTGAATCAGTCTTAAGTGCAGGTGGTAGAGTTCTTGATAAATATCGTAGCTCTCTGATTCCAAGCACATTGGAAGCCATTGTATGTTCACAAGGGTAAAATCTGAACTTCCAGGTATTTTAGTTTATATCCTTTAATTTTAATATACTTTAATTTATTTACTAATTTTAATTTTTCAATAAAAAAAAAAAAAAAAAACAATACTGCAATTTCTATTGATGAAAATGAAAACAAAGCTGCTCTAATTTCTTATGAAAAAAAGAAAAATACTAGTGACCTTGTCAATATGTAGATTTGTGCAAGATTTTGTTTAGAATTTATATGAAGCTTAACACTGCTATTAATAAAATTATTGCTATCATTATTGCAACAACATTTATTTCTGAAAAAAGTTTTCTGTTATTATTTTCTGAAGTTTTTATTTCTGAAAAAAGTTTTCTGTTATTATTTTCTGAAGTCAAAATTGTTAAACAAAATCAAGTATACCTTTTGATTTTGTATAAGAAAAACAAGCGTTAAAAGTCTTTGAATTGTGGTTTGGTCCTGGTTTAGCTATTATAATAGTTACATTATAGGAGGTTTTGGTATATACATTAGTAATAAAAAAAGTGCATACATTGCTAATAAATAAGACCTTTTGATTGTAGGCCTGTGAATCTCAATTATTGACCATAATCCTTCATTTTCAGGTGTGAATGCAATATTAGAAGACCTACAACAGAAGAGCTTGCATAATCTAAGGTCTTACCATTCTAAGGCCTTCAGTTTAAGATGCACACTTGATTTAAATGGAAATCAAATGTTCAAAAAAATAAAAAGTAGTCAGATTAATATGTACAACTACAATCTAAGTGAATTCAATGTGGTGCAAAGTTGCATATAAAAGTCCTAAAAAATTTTTTCGGATTTTTGAGTACGAGCAACACTCGGAAATCATCTTGCATGAGGTAAAGCATAATAAGCAGAGTCTTCTCAAACTAATATAGATATTATATAAAAAAAAAGCCACAAAAGCCTTCAGACACTCTAACGCATAAAGATTTCCTTTATATTTCCATGGTGTCAGTAGACATACTTTACTGTATTGCTCTTTTAAAAAAATTCCAAGGTCTTCTGTTTTAGATGTGTGGTTGCACGAGTATTAATGTAAGCTTCAGAGCTTACATTAATACCCAACCTTTAAAGACCCTTACGCATATAGATATCACCCCTCCTTACATTATAGGATGGAATTTCTAATAGCTAAATGCTTTAGTTTTTCAATATTTTCAATATTTACAATGCTCCACTCAATATGATGACTGAGAAAAACTACTTTAATTACTGTACAGTTCTTGGCAGCCATGATGATACTTGCATTTATTAGACCAATACCAACTCTTAAATTCTGTTCTGTGACAAGACTATTAGGACATTTTAGAGCACCTTTAAACAAAAAATGTGCATTTTTTTTTCTTGAAATAACTGATAGGGTAGGATCTGGACCTAGACCATACCAAGACCCTTTTTTTAAAATTGGGTCTGGGTCAAGATCAAGTCTGTTGAATTTATTTGTAGGGGGGAAGTCAGATTATTAAATTAATCTGACTCCCCCCCCCCCCCATACATGTGGGGGAGTCAGATTAATATCACTTGAATAAAAAAAAAGTTGTCAGGCTGCGATGAATTTTTTTTTTTTAATATATAAAATGTAGGCTTTTGATGCAACTATAATAAGTTTACCACAAGATATTTTCCTTTCCAATGATCCGTTAGTTTTTATAAATTTAATCCATTTATAAACAGATGAATTTGCATACTTAAAAGCTATAAAATGGTAGGCAATTTCCTTTATTTTGTTTATCTGGATTTTTTTCCCAAAACTTGTACAAATCATTCTTAACGTTTTAATATTTTTCCATTGTTTAAAAATATTAAATAATTTTTTTTTTTTCTTTTGATTTTTTCAAATACAATTTAAGCATGGCTTTAAAATGAGACTACAACGTATCTTTGCAGAGATAATTTAACATTAACTTAAGTAAAAAAACTTATTCATAACCTGTTATTGCAGGCATGTGATTTTTTACTGTTTTTTCTTGCTTCTTTGCACCATATCTTTGAAATAGTTCTAATATAAAGACCTGATGCATTTAGGAAAATCAAGGTACTTGCATGCTGCAACATTAAATAAAGTATTTTTCGCATCCTTTTGGAATGTGATTAAGTTGGAATAAGTTAAATTTGTCTGTATGTTTTGTTTAGTAAACATACTTCATAATATTTCTATACTTTTCATTGTAATCAACATTTTCATTGTGATTATGAGACACAGTAGGAATACTTTTGTCCATAAATCTTCTTCTTTGTGCACCAGGAATTTTGATTTTTTTTCTTTCAAAAAAGGTTATAATAATAAATCATAAACTGTGTTTTTTTTACTCTTTATCTGAATATATTTAGTAAAAAAGAATTTATTGTAAATAATATGATTAAAGTAATTAAATTATTAAGTGATTAATGATTAATGTTTAATTGGTGACATAACAACTAATAAAATTAAATTGGTGACATAACAAATAATAAAATTACAACTGTATTTTCAATTTACATGCTTCAATATTAAAAATCACTGCTGTTACCATTGGTCACAGAATATTTGCTTTATAACATTTTTATCATCTTTGTTTGACCACTGGCCAACTGAAGACATTAAAAATGTCTTTAATAATAGATTTTCAATTTTTTTCAATTTAAAAATAGATGTCTTCATTTGGCAACAAAGACAAACAAATGACAAAAATGTTAGCATGATTATAAGTTTACTAGCATGATTATAAGTTTCGCTCCAATATTATAATTAGAGGTTGGCAAAAAAAAATTGACACAAAGGGGTTACTGTAAAACATAGGAATAAGGTCGGCAATTTTTTGCCAACCTCAAACACTTTTAAATCAGCATTTAGATTGGCATTGCCGAATGCCGACACTAATTCCAAGGGTTGTATAATTTATTACCAAAAAAATAATTAAAACAAATTTATTTTAAATAAAAATAGAAACCTGCTATTTATGCTTCATAGAAACAGTTTTTTCTATGAAGCATAAATAGCAGCTCTCCAGCACAACTGAAGACAAAAAATTTTTATTAAAAATTGCAAACATTGATAAATGAACCATTGTCTAATATTTAAACTCTGTCACAACTCTAGTTTATGCATAGAATTTGTTATTTTTATTTTGTAAAAAATGGCAGAAAATGGGTTTTTGTAAAAAAAAAAAACTCCCTGGCACTAACTGAAGACATCAAAATTAAAAAAAAATTTTGTTGACACAATTATTAATAAAAACACTATCACATTAGTCATTTGTTTAAATATTTATTGACATACTTTGATAAAAAAATAAAGTTACCAGTAATATTTGTATTCTTGTATACTTGTACTTTGTAGTTTATGTTTTCTTGAGAAGAAAAACTAAATTTTTTATTTTACTCAAAGCTTGCCTTTCTGTTTTGTTGTAAGCCAAAAAGTCAGCATAATATACGCCACAATCTACAGACTTGATAATTTATTCAAGGGCATTTTATTCCTAAGAGAATTCCAAAGAGTACATGATGTCATTGACTTTAACACAAACAAACAAAATCAATGACATCATGTACTGAAACTTGAAATAACATAGCTTGAATAAATTATCAAGTCTGTAGATTGTGGTGCATATTATGCTGACTTTTTGGCCTACAACAAAACGGTAAAGACGAACCTCAACTAGAATTTAACTGAAAACCGAATTTGGATTTTAAAACACATTTAATTAAAAAAATTTTTTTTTAAGTTTTATAAAATTTTTTACTTTTTTTGCTTTAATTGTTCCAAGAAGATCTAACGGTTTTTCCACGGAGTACATGAGAAAAGTATTAAACTAGAAAGTTCAAACCTTTTTTATTACCAATGGTGCGAAATATGCCTAGGGCTTGCTTCAAACCCTCGGTCTATTGTTCCTAAAGCAAGCGCTCTAACACCTCTGCGCAGTGGTTGCTGTATAATCATTTTTTATAAACTAAAATTATTATTTTTTAGCTTGTAATTAACCATATTTTAAAACTTAATATAGAACAAGTGAAACCAATTAAATTTTAATTAAACAAGTAAATTTTAATTTATTAAAAAAAGTATACGCTTATAAAAAACCATTTGCGTCAAGATAAAAAATCTTAAAATTCAGTAATAATGAAAATTGAAGTTATGGAATCTTTACAACTCTTAATGTTTTTAAACGAACATGAACAATTTTTTATTTTTTTATTTTTTACCCAATTCATGTTCCCAAAATTAAGTGGGCCACTTTAGTCGAGGAAGCTACTTCTTACATTGGTTATAACCCTCTCTCAAATCTGAAAGAGGGTTGTAACTAATAAAAACAAGTTGATTTACATATAACATATAATATATTTTATAATTCTTCTTTATAAATTGAAAAAAACTTTATAGCTTTCGAATTTAACTGAAAGTTAAATGAAAATTTGAAATTGTTACTGAATTTAAGTGAAAGCTAAATTTCTATTTCAACTTCGGCACCGAAGTCGAAGTCAAAGTCAACTTCGCCTTTCAGTAAACTTTGTAATCCGAATTTTAACGAATATTCACCGGTCCTTGAACACAACATGTCTCGGAGGTTTGGCATCCCTTTGAGGTATGGATTGTAGATTATATTATCAATAAACTTATTGTTTAATTATCATTAAGGTATGGATTAAAGATTATATTATCAATAAACTTTCTATCAAAGTATGGATTATTAAACTGCTGCATAAATCAAGCATTTTACAGTTGATGTCTTTTTACTTAGCAAACTTTTAAGTTAAAGCATCAAACAATGGGTAAACTAATACTTATCTACTAATACTAAGCTGAAAATAACTGATTTTTCAAGCTGAGAAGTTATAGTTTCTTTAAAATACTTTGTATTTTAATTAAATAATTAAAATAAATAATTTAAAAAAATTAATTTAAATAATAATTAAAGAAAAAAAATTTTCTTTTTATTCTAACATCTTTTTATTATAAATTATCATAACTTGGTTTTAATAATTTTATTGCAAATTTCAATGAATTTAAAACATAAAATATGGTTGGTGCAGTGTGATAGTGTCATTTTTAATTTGTCATTTTAAAACCATGGCCAACAATAAGAATTTAAAAGTTAATAAAATAAATCAAAACTTCAAACTTGTGATTAAAAATCCCTTTAAGCAGAATCCTTTTTTAAGCACTAATCAAATAAGTAAAAAATAATACTCAACAATTTGTTGTATTTTTTTCCTTTTATTATAAAAAATAAATAGTTAAAATCAAATTTATAACAGAAAATATTTACTAGTTTATAAAATTGAATTATTTCATAAAAAATTAAAACCTGAAATCCACCATTTTTTTCCATTAATAATATAATTGTCCCCTTCACGTACAATAGAAGATTCAATATTTGTTGCATCAGATGAAGCAACCTAAAACAAGGTTTAAAGAGAAAAATAAGGCATAGCTGGTTGGGATTTTGGATATTTTGGATCTGGATCTTATCTGGATTTTAAGGATTTGTATCTCGATACAACTTAAAATTAAAATCATGCAAATTATAAGCTCTGTATTTTATAGCTGTTTCTTTTTAGCTGTTTTTACTGATTTTATAATTATATATCATTTATACTGAAAACATCATAAGTATATACACACTTCATACTTTATATTATACTAGAAATATCATAAATGTATACACATACCAGTAAAATTGCTATTACTGTGTGTCTAGTTGTAGTAAATTAAACACATTGTCAGAAAATAAACACATTGTCAGAAAATTAGGCAGCATAAAAAAAAAAAAAAGCATAACACAAATAAATTTTGATTTTGCAAAAGCATTTGATTTTGTTGATTATGACAAGTTGCTACTAAAGTTGGTGAATATTCTACCTAATTGGCTCACATCTTGGATTGCAGCTTACTTATCTAATCATCGCCAAAGAGTAAAAATAAGTGATCATCACTGATTGGAAATATATACAAGCTGGAGTACTTCAGGGTAGTGTTCTTGGAACAATCTTGTTCATTCTCTTTATTTCTAATATAAACACCTAACTTCCACCTAAAGCCATTCTCAAAAATTACGCTGATGACATCCTGACCTATATTATCTACAGTCAATTTACCTCAATCCATTGCTGATGGCGTCACACATTGGTCTGTGGCCAATGGAATGAAACTCAACAGCTAATAATGTAAAGTCATTATAATTAATGCCTGGTGCTCTGACACTCATGCTCTACCAACTCCCATACTCAATAATAGAGAACTTGAAATTGTATACAGCTACAAATACCTTGGAATCCTGCTCAATAAGAATCTTGATTGGGATGAACAATGGATAAAAGTGGACAACACTTTAAAACCAGTATCATTTCTACTCAAGCACCTTAAGCAAATTGGACACACTCAGCCCAACCATAAGCAACATAATATATAGTGCCCCAGTTCTTACCTCTTGCAGTCTTGCGGCAAAAAAAGAGATACAACATTTCTACAAAAATGCCTAACACATCATCAGAGTTGATGCAACCTTCTCAAGCCATTTCAATATTTGTTTTGACATTGAAGAATTACTAGACAAGACCTGCATCAATATCCTTAAAAAGATCCTTGCTGATACAAAACATCCAATAACCACTAAAATACCTCACACCAATAGCAGAAACACCAACAGATTCCCATTTTCTCTAAACACTGCAATCACTACTACCTATCAGCAATTGTTTATTCAAAAATACCAATGTATTCTTCGTGATAGTGTTAGTGACCTCTACCTCCCACTAAACATTGGCAGCTCCGCTGCCTTTTTAACACATAAATAATCAGTTCTTTTTCCTGCGTTTAAAAAACTTATACATATAATATTAAGTTTAACATTTCTGAAAATTTCTTTAAAATTAGTCAACCCAATTAGTAATTAGTCAAAGTACAATTCTACCCACAACCTTTATTATGGATGGAATTGATTATACTTTGACTTCAAGTTGAATGCATTTGGACTCTTATACCGGCTCTTTCAAAACCTTATCCACCGTAGGACTGGTGAAATTTACTGATTCAACTAAATTTACAAAAAGGGTACATTTTTGTCTCACCACAAGCTGCTATTGCAGCTGCAAAATAGCCCATTGTTTATGCTACAAACACAACAGCCAGCAACATCACTGATGCTAGATTAACCTGAACATCAACCACAAAAATTCAAAATTGTTCTTATTAGGCTGCACCTACAGGCCTCATAACCAAAACAACTTATACACATGATTGATTAACAAGCATCCTTTGCAGAAACACATTTGACACAGCTTGTAACTTTCCCCACTTAATGCCAATTGCGCCTCGTACTGCCAAAAACAACCCTTGACCTAATAATTAGCAACAAGCCAGACTGAATACTGGATAATTCCAACCCTCTTGGGCACATGCCAATGCACAGTGGGTTAGAATTCAATTTTACTGGACTAAATTCAAAACTAAATGAATATTAGTATTAATTTTGTATAAAAATAAAATTGAAAAAGTTTTAGATTTAGTTTTCAATTTGAATTGATTTTACTCTTGAGATTATAAAAACACAACTTTTAAAAACTTCGGACTTCAACCTAATTTAAAAACTTCACACTTCAACCTAATTTAAAAACTTCACACTTCAACCTAATTTAAAAACTTCACACTTCAACCTAATTTAAAAACTTCGGACTTCAACCTAATTTAAAAACTTCACACTTCAACCTAATTTAAAAACTTCACACTTCAACCTAATTTAAAAACTTCACACTTCAACCTAATTTAAAAACTTCACACTTCAACCTAATTTAAAAACTTCACACTTCAACCTAATTTAAAAACTTCACACTTCAACCTAATTTAAAAACTTCACACTTCAACCTAATTTAAAAACTTCGGACTTCAACCTAATTTAAAAACTTCACACTTCAACCTAATTTAAAAACTTCACACTTCAACCTAATTTAAAAACTTCACACTTCAACCTAATTTAAAAACTTCACACTTCAACCTAATTTAAAAACTTCACACTTCAACCTAATTTAAAAACTTCACACTTCAACCTAATTTAAAAACTTCACACTTCAACCTAATTTAAAAACTTCGGACTTCAACCTAATTTAAAAACTTCACACTTCAACCTAATTTAAAAACTTCACACTTCAACCTAATTTAAAAACTTCGGACTTCAACCTAATTTAAAAACTTCACACTTCAACCTAATTTAAAAACTTCACACTTCAACCTAATTTAAAAACTTCACACTTCAACCTAATTTAAAAACTTCACACTTCAACCTAATTTAAAAACTTCGGACTTCAACCTAATTTAAAAACTTCACACTTCAACCTAATTTAAAAACTTCACACTTCAACCTAATTTAAAAACTTCACACTTCAACCTAATTTAAAAACTTCACACTTCAACCTAATTTAAAAACTTCACACTTCAACCTAATTTAAAAACTTCGGACTTCAACCTAATTTAAAAACTTCGGACTTCAACCTAATTTAAAAACTTCACACTTCAACCTAATTTAAAAACTTCACACTTCAACCTAATTTAAAAACTTCACACTTCAACCTAATTTAAAAACTTCACACTTCAACCTAATTTAAAAACTTCACACTTCAACCTAATTTAAAAACTTCGGACTTCAACCTAATTTAAAAACTTCACACTTCAACCTAATTTAAAAACTTCACACTTCAACCTAATTTAAAAACTTCGGACTTCAACCTAATTTAAAAACTTCGGACTTCAACCTAATTTAAAAACTTCACACTTCAACCTAATTTAAAAACTTCACACTTCAACCTAATTTAAAAACTTCACACTTCAACCTAATTTAAAAACTTCACACTTCAACCTAATTTAAAAACTTCACACTTCAACCTAATTTAAAAACTTCGGACTTCAACCTAATTTAAAAACTTCACACTTCAACCTAATTTAAAAACTTCACACTTCAACCTAATTTAAAAACTTCGGACTTCAACCTAATTTAAAAACTTCACACTTCAACCTAATTTAAAAACTTCACACTTCAACCTAATTTAAAAACTTCACACTTCAACCTAATTTAAAAACTTCACACTTCAACCTAATTTAAAAACTTCACACTTCAACCTAATTTAAAAACTTCGGACTTCAACCTAATTTAAAAACTTCACACTTCAACCTAATTTAAAAACTTCACACTTCAACCTAATTTAAAAACTTCACACTTCAACCTAATTTAAAAACTTCACACTTCAACCTAATTTAAAAACTTCACACTTCAACCTAATTTAAAAACTTCGGACTTCAACCTAATTTAAAAACTTCACACTTCAACCTAATTTAAAAACTTCACACTTCAACCTAATTTAAAAACTTCACACTTCAACCTAATTTAAAAACTTCACACTTCAACCTAATTTAAAAACTTCACACTTCAACCTAATTTAAAAACTTCACACTTCAACCTAATTTAAAAACTTCACACTTCAACCTAATTTAAAAACTTCACACTTCAACCTAATTTAAAAACTTCACACTTCAACCTAATTTAAAAACTTCACACTTCAACCTAATTTAAAAACTTCGGACTTCAACCTAATTTAAAAACTTCACACTTCAACCTAATTTAAAAACTTCACACTTCAACCTAATTTAAAAACTTCACACTTCAACCTAATTTAAAAACTTCACACTTCAACCTAATTTAAAAACTTCACACTTCAACCTAATTTAAAAACTTCACACTTCAACCTAATTTAAAAACTTCACACTTCAACCTAATTTAAAAACTTCACACTTCAACCTAATTTAAAAACTTCGGACTTCAACCTAATTTAAAAACTTCACACTTCAACCTAATTTAAAAACTTCACACTTCAACCTAATTTAAAAACTTCACACTTCAACCTAATTTAAAAACTTCACACTTCAACCTAATTTAAAAACTTCACACTTCAACCTAATTTAAAAACTTCACACTTCAACCTAATTTAAAAACTTCACACTTCAACCTAATTTAAAAACTTCACACTTCAACCTAATTTAAAAACTTCACACTTCAACCTAATTTAAAAACTTCACACTTCAACCTAATTTAAAAACTTCACACTTCAACCTAATTTAAAAACTTCACACTTCAACCTAATTTAAAAACTTCACACTTCAACCTAATTTAAAAACTTCACACTTCAACCTAATTTAAAAACTTCACACTTCAACCTAATTTAAAAACTTCACACTTCAACCTAATTTAAAAACTTCACACTTCAACCTAATTTAAAAACTTCACACTTCAACCTAATTTAAAAACTTCACACTTCAACCTAATTTAAAAACTTCACACTTCAATCTAATTTAAAAACTTCACACTTCAACCTAATTTAAAAACTTCACACTTCAACCTAATTTAAAAACTTCACACTTCAACCTAATTTAAAAACTTCACAC